CTCACTTTTCCTCTCGCTCTCGCTCTCACTCTCACACTCTGTTCCTCTCTGGTCAAATTAAAAGAAAGAAAGAAAGAAAGAAAATTAAATAAAATAATTCTTTAAAAAATAATAATAAAACAATGGCCTGGATGTTGCCAGGACTTCAGACATCGCTATCGCCGGCACGGAGTATACTGTAGTGCTTTACAGAGTCCTAGTTTTGCCTACTCCAGGCCACTGACAATGCCATGTCACAGACCAGATCAAGAAGGTAGCCATCTAATGCATTTGTGCAAAAGATTCCCCTGCGTGTTCCTCCTAGACTGAGTGTGTGGGGTCTCTGTGGGTTCTCTGCTCACACTGCTGCACTGGGCAGAGAACCCTGCAGTTACCATGCTAAGCACCCATAACCAGCTTTCACAGGACCTTCCACTGGCCCTTCCAGGGGTTTTAAATCACAGAGAAGAGCAAGACTCACATAAGACTGCAGCACTGATAGGGAAATCTCTATGAATAGCAACACGGCAAAGGGAAGGGGTCTGAAACAAAACTGTAGAAGCTTTAAGTCGTTTGTACAAAAGGACTTAAGGGTTTTAACCAAAGCACTTGCCACCAAAGCTTCCAAAATGTTTGTGGACACACAGACACACACATACCACATGTATACACACATATGTAGGTGTCTATGTGTCTATACACACATATATTTAAAATTGTACTGTAATTTCTCATTTACATACATTCAAACTAGTTTCATTCAAATCATGGAAATCAGGTACAAAGAAACACCCCAAAAATATCTCCCCAGGAGTCTAGGACCCCGGGAGCTATTCGAATAAATAACTAAGACATTTAAATAAAAACTGTGCCCAGTTATGACTTACTGCTCAAAGTGGTGAAGATTCCAACAAGGAAATCGGCCACCTGTGCTGGGTCTCCGCTGTCCGGCAGAACTCGCAGACCGTCAAAAAACATGTCAGCAGCATCATAAGGCTGGAGCAGGCGCAGCAGGGAGTAGCCAGCGCGGTAATAGCCCTGGGACAGGAGAAAAAGCAAAACCGTAAGGCACCCCATTTCTTTCCTAACTGGCTGCTGAGAGGAAAGACAAGATTGGCAACATGGGGAAATTCAAGTCCAGAAGTCTCACTTCTATTTCCAACAAACACAGGTCACAGGGTTTCCACATTATATTCTAGGTCTCTCATTTTTTTGTCATTTTTTAAAAAATTATTTTATTAAACTTTATCTATTTATTTCAATTTGACCAGAGAGGGACAGAGTGTGTGTGTGTGTGTGTGTGTGTGTGTGTGTGAGTGTGAGAGAGAGAGAGAGAAATAGAGAGAGGGAAAGTGAGAAAGCATGCAGGTCTAAGACTCAAACTGCAGTTGGCCATGGGGAGTCCAGTGCTTAACTCCCACGCCCCCTGCTGGCCCCTGTCATTTTTTTTTACTGCCAATAAAATAATCACTTTCAAATTGATAACTTTTACAGCATCTAATATACAGTACAGAGAGAAGTAGGCTGTCCTGACTCCAACGACATGTGTGGTTTATTTATTCATACCTCAAATCACAGCCTGAGCTAGAACCGAAGAATGAAAAAAAGCCTACGACCAGTGTTCAGGAAAAGAGTGAGACTGTCATGGAAACACAGAAGTTGTTCCTTCCTCCTTTTAATAAATGTAAACACAATCTCCACTTGGTATGTAAGGGAAAAAATTGCAATGACAAGCACTGAGATTTACTTAGTTCCACATTAGTGATATAGACCAGAGAAAAAACAAAAACAAACAAACAAAAAAACCTTTTGGTCTCAGTATAGAGCAGAAAATTACCATAATTACAGAGTTAAGTAGTCTAATTTTTCCTATATACAAACATTTTCCCTACGATTATCTGAATCAGTATCAGGGGTCTACCAGAATAATTTTCTGCTTAAGATAAGGGAAGTACTATCCATCTGAGTTCCTGAAAAAGCAAACACCTAAAAATTCCAATTAACATCAAATATCTGATTATTTGCCAAATTATTTTAACCTTCATTTGAAAGTCTGTATAAAGTCTCAAAAATCAGAAAAAGGAGGGAAAAAATGTATTAGTGACTTATTTTTTTTCCCTCATGAGGCAAACTGATACATAATCTCTCATTTCTTTGCCTTCCTCAGATTTAAGTTTTGTTTTTCACAAAAAAAGAAAAAGGAAACTTAAAAACTTTTAAAAAATGAAACTTATTCTGATTCCCTTCTGAAGAGAGGAACACAAATCATGCCACATTGTCATTGAGATTATTTTGAGTTGAAGGCATCTGAGATGTAATAAATTTAAAAGAAAGAGTGAGAAAGAAAGAAGATGGATGGATGGATGGAAGGAAGGAAGGAAGGAAGGAAGGAAGGAAGGAGAAAAGAAGAGAAGAGAAGAGAAGAGAAGAGAAGAGAAGAGAAGAGAAGAGAAGAGAAGAGAAAAGAAAAGAAAAGAAAAGAAAAGAAAAGAAAAGAAAAGAAAAGAAAAGAAAAGAAAACCCTTCCTGCAGTGTCCCTTAACTGAAGGCAGAACCTCCTGAGAAATGCAGACTGCTATACATCCCCTCTCCCGGGAAAATCTGTGGTCATGAAGAAGATGGAGAGTCAGCACCGAGACAGACCTGCATGAGTCATGTAAGGCAGCCTTTATCTTCCACTGTAGTCTCACCATAGAGTTATCTTACCAGTGTGTCGCACCTAGAATCCTAAAAACCCTTTTCCTTTGTCTTGTCACATCTCCACAGTGTATCACTTGTTGTTAAATGTGGTATATAAACTCTCGGGGCTATCCACTTTTTTTAAGTCTTCTCTTCCTTTTCAGGGAGAAGGTCCCAATGTCACATTAATGTTATCATCAAACAAAATTTCTTTCAATCTGTCTCTTGTCAATCTAATTTTCAGGGCCCCAATCACTAAACCAAAAGAAGGTAGAGGAAAAAGAATTTTTTCTTCTCTACAGAAGAAAACGGAGGAATGAGGAGAGCAGAGCGAGAGATGCCCAGGAGCTCTGGGTGAGAATGAGAGAATAACCCTGTTTTCTGTGCTATCAGGGGCTGCTTCAGATTTGGCCACTCATAGAAGAATCCCAGAGCTTCATCCAGGAGCCCCTCAGTCCCTCGGGACACAGCCACTCCCTCAGCGGTGTGGGCAAACACCAACGACCCACTCACATTCTGTCCCATTAGAGAATAAGGACATTCTAAATGCCTTTGGGAAGAATTTTTCAGGAAGGTGCTCCCATTTTCAAACTAGTCAATAATTGCTCAAGTGTCCATCCTCCATGGAGAAGGTTCAAGAGTCTGTGCCTACATATCACATAAAATATCCAAATCCCTCTCTCGGAGTTGGAGTAATCTACAGGTCAAACCTCCCCCTCCACTTCCCATTGCATTTTATTTCTGGCAGTCCTAAAGAAAGTGTAGACCACTGGGAACCAGCAGTTAGCGTAATGGCTATGTCGCTGGACTCCCACATAGTCGACGGCGGTTCGTGTCCCGGACCCGGTGGCTTAAAACTCATGCCGGGCGCGTGTGTGTGCATGCCTAAGATCCCGAGAGGAGAATGAAGGAGAAGGGATTGCGGCGTGTCCATCTCCCCTGGGGTGATGACTTCTTGCTTTCTCTCTCTATGTCTCTCTCTGTCTGTCTGGCGAGTGCACGCACCCTATAGCGAAAACCTCTCCAAAAAAAAAAAAGAAAGAAAGAAAGTGTAGACCACTGAGGATACAACATTGCTATTTGTTGAGTGCCAACAACTTTATTTAATATCTCCTTAATCCTGGAAGCAACTTCAAGGCATAGGCATTATCTCATTATACAGTTTAGGAAATTAAAGCTTAGAGAGAGGAAAAAACAAACACATCCAAGCTGTTAAAATCAGTACCAAGGCCGAGCATGAGACAGAAAGGCCTGAGCTTTTTCCAGTTTATCATACAACCTCTCCATTAAATTGTCTATACCTCTCATCTGACACATAATTATATGTTGTTTCAGATGGCTCCAGATTGCTATTTCATTTTATATGGATGCTATTCCTCTCTCCAGCTTGACTGTGAATTACTTAAGGGCTGAGATGGTGTCTTCCACTCCTTCTGTCTGCCTTGAAACAGTGATGTTATCTTAGAGTAGGCTAAAACCACCAAACCAAATCATCGTTTACTGACCTTGACACCTTAAAGGGTCTCACTGGCCTCTCACACTTTCTTGATCTCTCTTAAGGGGCTGATTTCTACCGTAAGAAATGCTTTCAGGTGAATCGGTGTCTCGTCATCCACTCGGCTTGTATCTTTGCTAAGATAAAACTTACAAGCAGCCAACAGGAGGCTATGACATTTTGTGTAACCACTTTAGAACAAAATGAGTTATTCCATAATCTCCACTGTTCTCCCCCACCAGGAGGCCGGGCTGTGCTCTCCCCTACAAGTGCAGTTCAACACTTGGCCGTCACTGTTTTCATTCTTCTCCAGATAATTCTCCATATCCTACAGACATCCGTCTGAGGTGGAAAGGTTGTTGTAGGAGCCCCATTCCTAGCATGTCCATTTTTAAAAGAAGGAAGGGA